TATCCCTCTGGATTGTCAATTTTAGGGCAGGGTAAACCTGTTGAAGTTGGGATTGATTAAATGCTAAACTCAGTGAGGTCACTTCCAGATTGGACTTGATTCAAGAAACATTCCAGAACAAGGCCAAGGTCCAAGTGCAAGGCCAGAGGGCAAGAAATCAGCTGAGCAATATGAGCTGCTGGGAGTCTGTCTTTGGAAGTAGAGCTCAAGAAAGAGCCTACCAAGCATTTGGATTAACTGCAGGATGAGCTTGGACCCTAGGTATCAGAGTGGATCTGACTTGGCTTTGTTTTTTGTTGTTGTTTGTCTGAGGCAGAATTTTACTCTGTAGTTCAGGCTGGCCTTGACCTCACTATGTAGTCCAGTATGGCCTCAAACTTGTGACTCTCCTCCTACCCCAGCCTGCTGAGTGCTGGGATTACAGGCTTGGCCCACCATGCTCCAGCCAAGTAGCCCTGATTTGGAAAGGTGTTGAGAAGTCACAGAACAAACGTTGGAAGAGACATGTGGGTGCATTTTGATCTTCTGTCAACATCAGCTCAGAAAATAAATCAGTCTTCAACTCATGGGTTGGAGTATCAATTTAATTTTTGTACAGCAATTGAGCATACCCACAAAGAGCTTAATGTGTTATTTTTCAGTCATGTAATTCTTCCTGCAAGAATCTGCCCAGCTGAAGTGTTGTTTTTTGTTTGTTTTTGAGGCAGGGTCTTGCTATGCTGGCTTTCAGCTCACTTTGTATCCAGGCTGCTCTCAAACTTTTTTTTTTCAAAGTTTTATTGATAAACAGATAGCAATGAGACAGTTTCAAATCAAATCGGAAGTACAGTTTCAACAAATAATACACTGCATATATTCTTCTTAGTGGTTAATTGCTGTACAAGATGCGGACTTGCGATCCTATTTACAAACACCATTAGAACAAATCATTCTATTCATTAAGAGAATGCAACTATATATCTATCCCAACCTCTTTGAATACACAGATATAAAATGGACATTCATCGGTATACCCCATTTTTTCTAAGTTCCGTTATTGAATATTATAGGTGTGTAAACTCAGCAAAATATTCCAAAAGAGTCCAGTGGCCCATAATAGCATTGGGTCTTCTGTTTAACTGGCAATGTCAGAAATTATTGACCTGAGTCCCGCACAGCTCAACATAACAGCATGGCTTTATTTCTTATATTTCGACTTCATACTTTTCTACTGGATGGTTAAGACCAAGGTAAAGCAGGACCTATGCAACAAGAGTTGTAGCTTTTTGGTCTGAGAAGGTCAGTGAAATGCCCTCAGGATTTGTCCTGAGATCCTGTACCTCAGATTGTAGAACCTTTATCAGTGCAGCCATGTGGATGAGTCACGGCCATTGCTTGGCCAATGTGCTCTCTGTGAAAGCCTGAGAGAGTCTTCTCCCCATGTGACTCTCCTTAGGCCCACTCTACGTCACCGATCACTTTCCTCTTTGGCCCCATAATCTTCTTGATCAGAAAATTTGGGACACTACCGAGGTGCTCTCAAACTTGCAACTATCCTCCTGCCTCAGCCTCTCAAGTGCTAGGATTACAGGCTTGCACCACCAGCTGAATTACTGTAGATGAAATTTAAATTATCTCAAGAAACATCAAAAAGCTGTGCAGGTGTGGAAACTCAGGAAAGTGGAAACATTCCTGGTCCACAGGAACAGGGAGCATCTGAGGATTTGGGCAGCCCTGAGGAAGCAGGTGTCATCAATGTGTTGCCTCCACCCTTCCTCCTGCGCTAGACTTCCTTACCAGCTAACTCCTGCCTATTTAGTCCACAGCCCCATTCATCTGGGAAGTCCACTTTTCAATTTCACTCTCAGCATTTCCTTCTTTGAGCTCTTGATAGGCATATTATCTTTCCAAGTCGGGCAAGTAAAAGGTCTTTGACCAGTCTACGGATTGGCTGCCCTGGATCTGATGTCCTCGGATGGGCCAATCAGCTAAGACCACGAAAGGACGGCTGCCCATAGCTTCTCAGGGCAGAAACCAGCGATGGGGCAGTTTCCCCTGCAAAGGCAAACGCTGAGGCTAGGCAAGTGCGGTCTCTGGAAAAGGAATCTAAGGAAAACACAGATTCGGGGACCAAGAGGCGATTTAAGTGCTCTTACATGTAACACACACACACACACACACACACACACACACAGGGTGCTGGCCACAGAGCAGGACTGATACACGTAATAGGCTGTCTAGGTGTCAGACTAGGAGCATGTAACACAGTGACTTTGAAGACGTGAACAGTGGGAAATGCCCACAAACATTACTTGGAAAGAAAAAGCGTATAGAACTATATACAATATTGGTCAGAATTGTCTAAGAAAAATTTGAATGTTTATTTTTAATTTGTAAAGAAAGGTTAACAGATTAGGAGTGTGCCAATTGGTGGTATACAAGCTCTTTGATCAGTTTCCGAAGGCTCCCTGGCCACTGCAGCTCTGGAACCTGAACCCAGGACCCTGCATCTACTAGGCGGCTACTCTGCCACCGAACGACATGCCCTGGCCTTGAGAGCTGTACAACTCCGGGAGACGCTAAGCACTGCAGCCTACTTTTGTTCATTCCGGCCGGGCCTAGGCGGCTGCCTTCCCCACGGCGCAGCGCTGCTCCCCGCAGGGCTGGCTCCGCCCTCCCCTTCTCCCGCGGGAAAAAGGCCGTTTTCCGTCACCCATTGCTTTTCGGACCACAAAACCGTTCCCGTTTATTGGGAGGCCGGTGGCCCGGGGCCCCGCCCCTTCCGCCTTCTGGCCCTCCTGGACGCGGCTGGCGCACGCCATGGCTCCGCTTCGCTTCTCGGCCAACCTGTCCTGGCTGTTTCCCGAACTCCCCGGCCTCCCAGAGCGGTTGCGGGCCGCGGGCCGCGCGGGCTTCGAAGCCGCCGAGGTGGCCTGGCCATACGCGGAGCCGCCCGAGGCGTTGGTGCAGGCCGCGCGGGCCGCAGGGCTGCGGCTGGTGCTGATCAACACGCCGCCGGGTGCGCCGGGTCGGGCCGGGTCGGGCCGGGCTGGGGGCGCGGGCGCCCGAGCCGGGAATGAGGCCCGTTCTCTCTGCAGGAGACCAGGAGAAGGGGGAGATGGGGCTGGGGGCCGTTCCTGGGAGACAGGCGGCCTTCCGAGAGGGGCTGGAGAAGGCGGTGCTGTACGCCAAGACTCTGGGCTGCCCCAGGTATCGCACCGCGTCCCCAGTGCGCCGGCCAGAGGTCAGGAAGGGGGCGCCGGGCGGCTCGGAGGGCAGGCGCCTGCGCGAACTTGCCCTTGGCCTCTGCTTAGTCCAGTCTTGTAAATTGCCTTTTGTGTTTGATCTGTTATCCTGTTTGCCAAGCTTCTATGCTGACCCCATGCCGACAGCTCAGTCTGACTAGGAACCACGTAACAGCCTGTGACCCACTGGTTGATTACAACACTGCGTGAGTGGGTGTGACTGTGGACAGGCTCTGACCCTGCCCGAGATGGGCGAAAGCCGCTGCAGATGCTTGCGCTGAGTAGGGTGGGCATCAGCAAGGATGCCGAGGCACCTTGGGGTATTCGGCCAAGTTCCTGAGGCTGGAGCATGGCCTGTTGGGGTCGGGAGGGCCTGAATTCCTGGAATGTGGCCCTGCAAGATCAGGAGGTGATAGCTTCAGAGCAGGACAGGTTAAAAAAAAAGGAACAAATGTCAGATTCCGCAGATGTCAGGTATATTTGCTGAGAAGGGGCTCTTGTGTGGCCAGTGGTGGGGAGAAAAGAGAAGGGAAGAGGCTAAGAAACACAAGCAGAGGAAGCAGAGACAAGCAGCAAGGAATGCCCGAAGTCAAGGGCCAAAACATGTTTAAAATGAGTCAGGCATGCATATAGGCTGGAGGACCTGGGGACAGAGCACTTTAGGGCAGGCCCAGTAGTGGCCTGAGGTCCCTGAGCCAGGAGGATGGGTTAACTTAAGGTGCCTGGGAAGGGACCTGGCCTGGGCTGAACAGGAGTGTCTAGCCATTGGGATTCCCAGCAGCACTGCTCACATGGTACAGACCAAGGAGCTGGAGTCCCCTGGGGGCTGGCCGGGTCTGACACAGATGGCGAGGCAAGGGGGTGAGGCCTCCAGCTTCATCTTCCCATAGGATCCACCTGATGGCTGGCCGAGTACCCCAGGGAGCTGATGGAGCAGCAGTTAGGGGTGAGATGGAGACAGTTTTTCTGGAGAACCTGAGGCACGCTGCTGGGGTTTTGGCTCAGGTGAGACATGGACACATTTGTGTGTGTTGGGGGAGGGGTACAGCAGCGAGACAAAGCAGAAGGCCTGGTGAGGGTGCTGTGCAGTGACCAAAGAGGGACAAACCTGGGAGGAGCTTTGCTCATGGCATCCAACATGCTGCCAGGAGAACCTCGTGGGACTGCTGGAGCCCATTAACACGCGAGTCACTGACCCCTGTTACTTCTTGGACACGCCCCAGCAGGGTAGGCCCCCAGCCCTTTGTCCTGTCCCTGGGGCTCTAGTGCCCTCCTTGTCTCACAGCTGCTCCCTGGCTTTTCCCTAGCGGCAGCCATCCTGCAGAAGGTTGGAAGACCCAACCTCCAATTACAGATGGTGAGTGGAACAAAGGGGCACCTCTCAGGGCACCCGCTTTCTCTAAATCTGGGAAGAATGGTGGGGGCCCTGGAGGTGACTAGCATTTTCTTTCCCCAGGACATATTCCACTGGCAGATCATGGATGGAAACCTGACGGGAAACATCCAGGAGTTCTTGCCCATTGTTGGTGAGGGGGCTCCCTCATTTCTGGTCTGCTGTGCTTCCTTGTACATCCTTTAAGCTCCCACTGTCTCTCAGGCTTCAGCAGCAGCCCGATGCCATGTCTCCCCATATCTTTCCCCAGGGCATGTGCAGGTAGCACAGGTCCCAGGCCGAGGGGAGCCAGGGAGCCCCGGAGAGCTGTACTTCCCCTACCTCTTCCAGCTGCTGGAAGACCAAGGCTACCAAGGCTTTGTGGGCTGCGAGTATCGGCCTCAAGGTGAGGTTCCTGGTAAAGGGCTCTGGAGGGAAAGGCACTAGACAGGGGCTGTTTTTCTCTTTGTGGGTTGAGATGCCACTGCCTCCCTGCCCCTGCAGGAGACACAGTGGAGGGTCTGAGCTGGCTCCGTTCATACTGGGACAAGCGAGGCCACCCATCGGCTGGCCAGTGAGGTCCTGTACACCACCCACATGCCTCTCTGGGACAGAGACAGCATCTCCATCTCCTCTGAATTAAAGATGACTTGCTGAACACTTTCATAGGTGTATTTTGTAGGGGTAGGGGACACAGTGTCTAATGCTTCAGTGTCTGAGTTGCTTTCCTGCCATTGAGAAGGGACACATGCTCACGCTCCAGTCTTCTGGCTGGTGCCAGACTTGCTGTGGAGACAGAGACCTTTTGAGCCTTCCTCACCTACAGATGAGGAGCCAAGAGTCCATGAGTAAAGGCTTCATACTGGTCACACAAGCTTCCTGGGCAGAGCTGGGATTGAACCAAGGTTCTTATCTGAATGGGAATGTCCAGCGGCGATCTCCCAGTGGGAATGAAGACTAGAGGGTTAAGGGGGCACATGGCTGACAGGGACCAAAGACTGGAAGGCAGGACTCAGCATCTGAGGGGCAAGTGCCTGCCACCTGATGTGAAGAACCCCCAGGATGTCACCAGGGGACAGGAAGGAGTCACCCCCTGCAAGGGCTGAGGAGCCTAAGCAGGAATGGGCTCCTCGGAGCTGACTCAAACCTCTGGAGTCCTGGGCTGCTCAGTGTCTGGGAGGGCAGTTCTTGCTGTCAGGCTGTGGTAGCATGACCCCAGACAGTCACAGAGCCTTTGGTGTCACCATGCAGAAGCATATGAGGCCCAGGTCAGTCATGCCCCAAGTGGACGACTTACAGATCCATGAGTTAACGCAGAGTCACTGGTTTGCTTCCTCAGAGGAGGCGTGTCCAGAGGGTGAAACAAGCTGTGTTGATGACGGACTCTAAATGGTGGTAGGTAGAGACCAGCTGTGCAGGGGGGCTCTCGCTATCCTGAGGCTGCACAGGAAAGGGCTCTCGGAAAACCACTGTCAAAGACTGTGGGAACATGGGGTGCAGAGGTCAGAAGAGGCCAAAGCTGGAACAGGAAGCAGGGCTCAAGAGTGGGCACCCTGACCCAGCGGGCTCTGACATAGAGACATGGGTTACACCCTCCCACTAAGCTCAGACAAAAGTTCCCATTCTTACTGTTTTTCCCAAATGGGAGTCCAGAAACACTAGCACAAAACAATCTGTGAACTTCTGATTCAGTACCACCTGTAAGGACACGAAACAAGCGTGTTGTCAGTCTCACCTGGGGTAGCACAGCCCTTCCTGTAGGGGAGCTGGCAGCGAAGTCAAGCAACGGCCTTGGTTCACCACATGCCAGGTCACTTAGGCCTGTGTCTCCATTTCTGCTGGCTTGCCAGTCAGCCTACCCTGAGCCAGCTAACAAAGGGAGATTTGCCACCTTCGGCACAGCTCCCGAGATCCCTGAACTGGCCTTGATATGTGGCGCTGGCATTCTCCCAAGGCTTCAGCACCTGTTCACACGGCTGTTGCCCCATCTTTCCTGAGCCCCAAGTGACACTCCCATAACTAGGCAGTGAAGGTGCCTTGGGCTTTACACTATTTGTCCCAAGCTGAACTCTTCTGAGACCCACCCCTGCTGGCATGCTCGTGGTGCAGGAAGGAGTACCCCAACTACCCATACTGCTGCAACCCGGTCCTAACACACCCCAGCTCTCTGGATGGTCCTGTATATACGGGAAACCAATCTTCCCCACAAGCACTGTGCTGCCCAGCCCTTGCAGGCTCCCACTCCTACTCTCATTTGTAGTCTTGTCTTGTGCGCTTCCTCTCCTGAGGCACAGCTCTCACTGGGCCCATCTCATCAGTCCCTGATTCTCTTCCACCACCGGAGTTCTTTTTACCTATACCTTATGGCTGTGTTTTATAACTTCAATGTGCGCATGGATCACCTGGGGATGTTGCTGATCTGTAGAATCTAGTGTAGGGCAGGGCCTGAGTGTCTGCCTCTTAGCAAGTTCCCAAGTAACACTTCTGGCCTGACCATCACACTGAGTAACTAGGCATTAAAGCCCAGAGCTCCCTTCTGGGACTCCAGCCTCTGACCACCCAATGATGAGATTCCAGAGCTTGGTCCCCAGGATCTCAAGCCAAAGTGTGTGTTCTTGGGGAGCCTGAGTGCAACACTCTGAATTCTCAGCAGATCACTGCTGGGGCAACACTCTGTCTGAATTCTCAGCAGATCACTGCTGGGGCAACACTCTGAATTCTCAGCAGATCACTGCTGGGGCATGGGGCTTGGTGCTCAAAGGTTTACCACGTGTCTGTGTAGTCCCATTCCATTTAGGTGCACAGCTTGTTTGGTCAAGCTGGGGCACCTAGAGGGGACAACTGCCATCTCTGATGAAGCTTTCTGCTTTTCCCCTTTTAGAGGTTGGGGGAACTTACCAAATACTGAGTTCCCAAGTCTGGGCTTTGGAAATGGCGGCAGCTCTGGGGAAAGCGGCTTAGGAGAACCTTGATCAGGCTCTGGTACCAGGAAACGGTCATAGACAGGAAGCAGTCCTGGGAGATGGCCAGAGGTCTGAATCTGTTGTGCCCGAGTTAGCTCACCCCCAACGCTACCTGTGGAATCCCGGCACCCATTCAGGCCCATTCTGGAGCCTAGGGTTCCTTACCAGCTGGGGGTCTATGTCCCCAATGGACTTAGCGTGGACTGCCTCAAGGAGCTCCTCTAGCTCTGCCAGGGCCAGGCGCCCCCCTAGCCTCAGTCGGTCAGGCCCTGGTGGCTCCAACAAGAAGAGGCGCTTCCAGAGGGTGTCCCGACGGCAGTGCCCACCAGCTAGCCGGACCAGCTGAGCCAGTCGTGCCCGAGCCATGCCCACCTCTGCTGCTAGTGGTGGGAACAGGGGAGCTGGGCCAGGGGGTGGCAGGATACTGGAGGCCTCCCCAGGGCTACCAACCAAGCTCCCAGGAGCCTCAGGCTCAGGGGGTAGTCTGGGTGGCTTTCGGAACCTGCGCATATCAGCGGTGAGCCTGGGAAAGAGCTCTCGTTGGCTAGTAAGCACCACGAAGAACTGCAGCCTGCGAGAGGAGGACAGGAGTGTGGGCACCACAGCAGCAGACACAGGGTGAGAGTTGGGGAGGACTGCAAACCAGTACGTTCAGGGTGGAAATTCTGCTGACCGTAGAACATGCCGCTCTGCTTCTCCTTGCTCCTCAAAGGGTACAGCACAGTGACAGACAAGTAGAGACACATCAAAATCATCCTGATGGCGAAGACCCTCTGAGTCCAGGTAGGAGCCAGAACTGTGCAGCAGGGGTTGGGGAAACTTCAGTGCTGAGGTTTTAATGAAATCAATGCCACTGCTTCTGCCCTAGAAAACAAGTCTCCCTACCATAAGCTTGACCCCATCTCAGCCCCACCAGTGTCTATGGGACACTCTTCCAGCCTTACCTGTGCCATGCTGAGACCAGAGCATATTCATTATGTTCCGGGCCCCCAGGGCGGGCCATTCGCAATGGCTTCATGTGGTAAGAGCTGGCATGGTCAGCCACATAGTTGTACAGCTGGTGGGCAGCAATGAGTGGTGTGGGGAGCTCTAGTGTCCCTAGGGAGCAAGGTAAAGGAAACAGTAGGTCCTAAGTGTGCGGCAGGCACCCTCGTGGGGGCTGGGAGTCAGTAAGGCTCTGACTGGCAGTGACTCAGCTCTCTTGGGGAGCTCCTCAGGGAGGATATGGAGATGGAGGAAGTGGCTGAGAGCAGAGGGCAGGGACACACGGCATAAAGTCCTCACCCTACATAAAGCAGGCCGTGAAGAACTGAAGACTGTCACAGAAAAGCAGCACTGAGACAAGGTATGAGTAGTACTTGCTGGGGAGGTGCTCCCACCAGTCCTGGCCAAGAGGCACCTTGTGGCCAGTTCTTTTCAGACCCATTAGTTTGTCCTTGAGCACTGACCTTGGTAAATGTGATTGCGGCCAAAGTGCGGTCCGTCAGGGTGGTGGGCCAGGAAGTGCCGTAGGAAGGTGGTAAGGTGGTAGCCATGCCGCAGGACCAGGTGGGAGCCCAGCACGTGCTGGTGCACGAGGCGCAGGTGGAAGTCATAGCTGAAGGAGTGCACATGCATCAGATCCCGCACCTTGTCACACTCCTCTGTGAACAGCATGGACAGCTGGGAAGGGGCAGCAGGGTCAGTTAAGGGGCCATAGCACGGCTGCCAAATACATTTCCTTCCTTCCAGGGAAAGGAGAAACCCCACAGCTCCTCCCTGTTGCTGTGGGCCCAGTGAAGCCTTGTGGAGAGCTGCGAAGGACCACGCCTACAAGATGAAGCTGCCCCCCCCCCTCCCCCCGTGGGTGAGCGCTCTCTGTGCACAACAACTCCTTATATGGCCAGGGCTGCAGTCATGATTCGCTTCCGCATATGCTGGACCCATGGGCGATCCCCACGTGGTGCACTGGGATTGGGCTCGGGATCATATATAGGCCGAGGGCTCGAGGGAAGAGAGGTAGAAGAGCTTAAGAAACTTGCTGTAAGGGGCCTGAATAAACCGCTGAAGGAAGAGTTGTGTGTTGCGTCTTCCTTGCTGGCGAGGTCGTGCGCAACAAAGCCTGCCGGCACTGCTTCCAAGCAAAATTCTCCCCTCACCCTCATATCTTAATGCTGGGTTGAGCCCTTGGTTTATACAGGACAAGGATCATTTTGAGACACTAAGCCTCCTTTCTGCGTCTCAGACTCCACTCAAATCTAGCCTGTGTTTGCCAAAGTAACAAATGTCTTCTGAGCGAGTGCCTACCAGGTGCTACCAGTGACTGTTCTAGGTACTGCGGATGCCGCTTGAGTCTGGCCCGCATTTGCCAATATAACAGCTATCTGCGAGTGAGTGTCTCCCAGGTGCTACCAGTGACTGTTCTAGGTATTGCGGACACTGTGGGGAACAGAAAAGAACTCAAGCAAAGCTCTCCTTGGGAGCTTGTAGTTTAGTTGTGGAAGTTATTAGGATAAAGAAGAAAGTACAAAGTACACTAGAAGATGGTGCTCTGCTAAATCAGGCAGTGGTCAGGGGAGGTATAGCTACTATTTATTAGAAACCTTGCCCTGATTCTTCCCTTCTCTTCAGCTTTCTCTGCCCCTCAATCTACCTGCTCCTTCCAAACACATGTTATCTCTCCTCTATACACTGTGCCTGTGCCCTTCACCTGGAATACAGCTCTCCCCAAGTCAGGCCCAGCGGGCTCCCACTCATTCCTACAGATGCCTCCACACCCTGCTGGGGCAAGGCCAGTGGATCTCCTCTGACTGATGGGCTCGCTTGAACCACTGACTGAAGAAGGAAGAGGCAGAGACATGGAATGGTGCTTCTCTTGCTGGAAATCACCATTACTGACAACGTTAACAACTGGATGTGATGTGTGGTACTTAGTCCATCTGGCCACTCTGGGGTCACAGGGCTTGAGAGTCAGCAGGGTAAGAAGCAAATGACTGTGGGTGGTCAGGCTAGCTGGAGTCTTGAGTTAGGTCACAGTCATTCTGTGCTTCAGTTTCCTTGTCCACCAAGGAGATAATGTGCAGTTCCAAAGTTAAAGGCAGTGTGATACACTACTCATTACAAGGATGACGAGCCTCGGTATTACTGAGACTTCCAGTGACCAGTTGTGTGTTCTGGGACAAATGACTTTAGCTCTACAAATCTCATGGGTAGAGGAGTAAACTGTTTCTTTTCACTTAGTATACACACTAAATGCTTAATGAACAATGACAGTCGTGATACAATTTAGAAACCTGAGCTGGATTAGAGATTAGATGAGCAGGATCAGAACCCAGATGGATTGAGACCAGGGACCAGGAGGACGGAAAGAAGTCCAGGGGAGGAATGGGCAGGTCTTTGATTCCCATCCCACAGGAGTGTGAAGGGTACCTGCCCAACCCCTCTGAGCACCCTAGTCCACATAGGTTCCTGTACATTAAGTCTCCAGGCCTGCACAGATCATCTTGTACTTCATCTCCTGTGAGCAGGTGTGCACACTCGAGTGAAAGGCAACCATCTAGGCCTGGGTATGAGCTGCCCTGACAGACAGGAAAGAACACACGGGAGTCTGCTGGCTCTCCTAGGACTAATCAGAGCTGAATCTCCCTTGAACGCATCTGTGAGACAATGAGAAGGTCCAGGACGTTCCTGGCAACTGAGGAAAGGAACTCAGTATAGCATGGACTTCAGACCCCTGACCTCAGTCAAACCTCAGTTTACTCTGAGTGCTCCTGAGGGCCTGGGCTTCCTGGGGAGAGTCCCAGGATTGGCAGGGACATAAATAACAGCTAAGTGCCAGGGGCACACTTGCTGGGTCAGAATGGTGGTCTTCATCCTAAGTGTTAGTGACTGTACTGACAATGCCAAGCTGTCCCCAATTCTTGGTTAGGCCAGGACTCTGTGTGGCACTGATCTAAACAAATGTCACATTATCACTGTGCTCCAACATACTCACTGTCCAGCTATGAATGACCACTGTGTTAGCTACCGTCAGTGCCAGAAGGACCATGCGGCTGGACCAGCTAGCCTGCCTTCCGCTAGGTGCCATAGTGAACACGGTGCTGAAGTGTCCTGGGTCAGATGGGGGGATGGTGCAGTCACAGCACCAGCATGCAGAATAACCACTGCCCTAGCCAGGCACAGCACTGGAACAACCACAGGGCCACACTGCCCACAGCAGGCTGGGGTCATGGTATGTCTGAGCCTTTTATACCCAGTGTTCCTCTGTCCCCATCACGTACCTGAGAGTTGACAGCCTGCCCCATTGGGATTCGAGAACATTCCAAGGCAAACTGTTTGACACAGAAGTAACAGCCCTGAAGGAAGGGTGAGATGAGGTCAGGAGCGTGGGAGATGATGGCTCTGGTTCTTTCCACTCAGCGCTCCCCCCTGCTCACCTGGAAAGTCAGCTCCATGAGGATGATGCCCCCAGGCAGTGCCCGCTGCAGATGATAAGTGGTGACTGGAGAGCCAGTGCTCTGTAGAAAGCACAAAGGGGACAGTGTTGAACCAGAGGTCAGAAGTCACTTCAGTCCCTCACTCTAATGATGTCAGTTTGAGTCAATGACATCAGGGCTTTCAGTTAGGGTCAGTGACACCATGTCCAGGGCACCGCTGACTTCACTATTACAAGAGAATCAGTTACCTTGGGGCTCCCCTCAGTCTTGGCTTTAGGGCAGGAGAAGGAACCTCGACCCTCTGTTCCAAGGATAGCCATGGCCCGCAGCCGGCTGGTGCTGCAGAAAAGAGAGGCAGGACGGGATGAAGGGGTGTGACTATTTCACATGGAGTCATTTTGCAGGAGAGGAAAACAGGCACACAGAAAGGACTTGCTCAGGGGTCCATGCAGAGCAGGTGGTAAGGCCAGGCTAGGGGCAGGGCTCTATCTACAGCTGGGAAGGGGGATGTGCAGGCAGGGAGGTAGAGACTAGGGCTCTTTCTCTATTATTAGGCTGTGAGCAAGGAGTCAAGGAAGGTGAAAGGACAATGCATGTCTAAAATTTCATTTTGAGCACCAGGTATGGTGATGCATGCTTGTAATCCCAATGCTCTGCAGCTCAGGCAGGAGTGTTGTGAGTTTGATGCCAGGCTGAACTGCCTAACTTAACTGTCTTGGAAAAAAAAATCATTAGGAAAATTTGAGATGCTTAGTTAGGAACTATCCTTTGAGAGGAAAAGTGGTACCCTTTTGACTGAGTAATGACAGCTGCAGTGCTTCACAGGCCTGCTATTCTTTATTACTTAACTCAGGCGAAGACTTAAGAAGAGAAGGGCTGTGACCAAAGACGAAACAGAAAGGGTGAGTGGGTCCATTCATTACACCAAGGATCTATAAACTGCTAGGATGCATGCTGGGGGTAAAGGTCTTGGCAGAAGAAATGTTCTGCTTCACTCTCAAGAAAATCAGAATAAAACTTAAGGAGTGATAACTGATCATTAAAAATTGGTGATAAAAGAGGCCGGCCAAATAGCTCAGCAGATTAAAGCACCTGCAAGCAGGCGCAGGGGCTGAGGGTTCAATCTCCAGGCCTGCTGTGGTGGCCCCACCCCCGGGGTGCACTGAGATGGCAATTGGAACTGGCATGGTAGCACACGCCTGTAATTCCAGCTCTTGGGAGGCTGTAAACAGGCAGATCGCTATGAGTCCAATGCAGTAGTGAGACCCTGTAGACCCTTCTCTAAAGTAAAATAAATAAAAAATTGGTGATAAAGGAAAGCTTGACTTTAAATTTTGTTCTAGAAATAGTTTTCTAATACGAGTGTCTTTTTTTTTTTTAACTCTAGTGTCTCATAAAAAGAAATCTCAATTTTGAGGATGAACATAACTGAATAGAAAGTACAAACTATAGTCTGTCCTAGAAGCTCCTACCACCAGGCACTGGCTGTATGGGGTAGCAACTTAAGCAGATCTCCTGGGGACCATGGAGGGGCTCCTTTGGCTACTGGGAAATAGGAGCTGGGTGGAAAACCCCAGGAGATTAAGTAGGCTTTCTTTTCAGAATGTCCAAAAAAATGAGAGGGCCGGCCAGACAGCTCAGCAGACTAAAGCATCTACTTAGGTAGAGCACAGAGGCTGGGGTTTGATCCCTGGCCTGCTGTGCCAGCCCCGCCCCCAGGGGCGTGCTAAGATGGTGGTTGAGAAGGTGTGGTGGTGTGCGCCTGTGATACCAGCACTTGGGAGCCTGAAAGCAGGAGGATCACTACAAGTCTGATCTACATAGTGAGACCCTTGTAGATCCTGTACTAAATACCACCCCCTCCAAAAAAAAAAAAAGAAAAGAAAGAAAGAAAATGAGGAAGCCTGGGAAGTAGACAGCTGATTACTAAAAAGCACCAAGGAGTCAAAATTGGCCTTCTGGACCAAAGCAGAATCCTGAATAACGAAGAAGTACATTTTACACTTAAAAAGCATCTAACTAAAAACAGAGACTTGAGAAAATGCCTTGATAGCCTTATAGACCTGAAGACATGAAAGTGTGACAGGTCATTATGTTCACATAGCCACAGGGAAGGGGTGGGAACACAGACACGGGAGAGCCAGATGCTGAGGGGAACAGAGAGCAGGTGCCTCAAAAACAAGACTCAGATCTGACCTAGGTCAGGAAAGGTGGCTGCAGAGTTGTCACTGAACAGAGAGAAGGTGGAAGGTGGTGACAGAGAGCTACCTCCGTTCCAAGGCTCAGACCAGTCAGTACTGGCCAGGGAGTGAGCAAAAACAAGAACAGTCCCTGGTGGCTTGGTTCCACAGTACACGTTTGTAATCCCAGCTATTTGCAAGGCTAAGGCCAGAGAATCACAAGTTCAAGGACAATACAATCCCATGACAGCAAGCCTTTTAGAGCTTTCAATGACACAAACAGCCCACTGTGGCATGTATGCTATAGCTTTACCACCACTGGGCTAGGCAATTTAGCAACACCCTATCTCAAAAGAAAAAAAAAAGGCTGGGGATGTGTCTCAGCACACTCTAGGTGTAACCCCCAGTACTGCAAAAGCAACACAAAACCACACCGAACACACAATAGGCCATGCACAGTGGTGTAAGCAGGTGCAGTGAAGAGGGCCTTGGAGAGAAATGCACTGTCTTCCTTGAGCCGTAGTAAATCTCAGGAGAGCCAGGGGATGCACAGGACATGAATCAGTATAAGACTCATGTGCGGATAAACACAAGCACAAAACACAACCTCTGAGATGCACATGGCTCTGTGGAGGAGCTGCCCGAGACTTGAAGGACATGAACGAAAGGGTCCCAGTCCTCATGTATACATGCTGGCCCAGTGGGGCGAACATGTACAAGGCCCAGGCTGTCCAAGCAGGAGCAGTGTGAGGAGAGGAGAGCTCACCTGCGGGCAGGTGAGGGAGGCCGCAGTGGTACGAGAACAAAGCCTATGCTCTGGAGGTACTGCATGTACTGCTGCAGGAAGGCCACGCTTAGCTCCTTCAGCCAAGGCTCCTCACGCGCTCCAGGTGGAGGTACATCCAAAGGCTCGCAGCTTCCAGGGGTCTCTCGGCTTCCAGGCGCTGACTCAGGACGATGGCGCCGCTGTGGGATAGAAATTAAAAGGGGCCGGGGAGATGGCTCAGTGGAATAAGTGCTTCTCCGGCAAGTGCAAGGGCCTGAGTTCAATC